TAATTTATTCATTGCCTTGTTCCCGGTTAAATTTTCCTTTGGTGTAAAGAATCCCCCTTTTTGGGGTTTTTTCCAAAAAAAAAAACCTTTTCACCAAAAATTAAAACTTTTCAGGTTTTTGTTTTCCTTTTAACCCCAAATGTACCCCCGGGGTTTCTGCACCCAATTTTACCGCCTTTTGGCCGAACCCGGGAAGGGGGTACCCTTCCTTTTACCTGGGGGGTTTTGGCCCGTTTCACGGTCAAACCTTCCCCAAACAGTTTTGTGGTTAAATTTTTTTTTTTCCCCCACCCTCCCCCCTTTAATTTGGCCTTTTTTAAAAAAAAAATAATTATTTAAATAATAAATTTTTTAAGGAAATATTTCCCGGGAAAGCCCATATTGTCCCAAAAACCCAAAAAAACCCTTAAATTTTTCCCGATGGTGGGGTCTTTCCTTTTTTTTCCCGAAAACAGTTTTTTTTTTTGCAAACAACAGGTCCCTTTAAATTTTTTCCCCTTTTCTCTTCCCCTTTTGAAATTTAAGGTTTGTGGTTTTGGGGGGGTTTTTCCTTTTAAAACCAAAAAAATTTTGGAACAATTTGGGCCACACCCTTAAAACCAAAAAAATTCCAAAAATTGTTTCAATAAAAGGGGTGTTTTAAAATTCAATCCCCATTTTTAATTTTTTTTTAAAAAAAAGGGGTTTTGGGGCCCCCCCAATGACCTTTCTTTTTTGGGGGGCCTGTTTTTTTTCTTATTTAGGAACCCTTGGGGAAGCCCTAAAATAAATTGGGGAAATTTTTTTTAAAATGAAAAAAAAATTTTCCGCTGGAAGGGGAAAAACCTTTTGGGGACCCTTTTTCCCCCCCACGGGAAAAACCAAATTGGGCCCCAAAATTTTTCCGCTGGGTTTCCGGGGCCCCCGGCCTTCAGCCGGGGGGGAAGCTCCTTTTGGAAACCCCTTACACCTCCAAATTCCCCAACCCCCCGGGAAACCCAGTCCACAATTTTTTTTAAACGAAAATACCCCCTTTAAAACCCCTTTTTGGCCCCCCAAATTTTAACGGAAAATTCCCGGGAAACCCCCCGAAAAAAAAAAGGGGGAACCAATTTCCCCCCTTCCCCGGGGTATTCTTTTGTAAAATTTTTCTTTTTAAGTTTTTTTCTTGTTCCTTTGGGGGGTTTTTTTCCTTTCTTTAAAAACTCCCGAAAAAGGGGAAAGTTTGGGGGGAACAGGGGTTCCCTTCCTCCTTAACCAAAACTTTTATTGTTTAAAAGAAAACCGAAATTAAAAATTTTTCCGGGAACCCCCGGGGGCCTTTTGTTTAACCCCTTTCCCCCTTATAAATTTTTTTTTAAAAATTGGTTTTAAAAAAAAAGAAACTTTTCCCCCTTTTTCCCCTTTTTGGGGCCCACCCTTTTCCCCGGTTTGGGTTTCCCGGACCCGGTGGTTTGAAAAGAAAGAAAGGAAAAATTTTTATTTAAAATGAAAAAATTTTTTTTCCCCCTTTCCAAGGACCCACCCGTTTTCCCACTTTTAGGTGGGGTGGCCCAAAAAAAACATTAAATTTTTTTCCCTTTAAATTTTTTGTAATAATATAAGGAGAAGGGGTTTAATTTCCCCAAAAAAACCCCCCTTCCCCCCGGCCCTTTTTGTCCGCCCTCCCCTTAAAAACACGCCAGGGCCCCTTAAAAAAGGGGGGGAAAATTCTGTTTCCCCCATTCCCCAATTTTTAATGAAGGAAAAAAATAAACAAAGGAAAACCCAAAAAATTAGGAAAAAAATTAAAAAAAAAACCCAAGGGGTGAATTTAAAATTTTAAAAAAAGGGGGTTGGGGACAATGGGGGGTTGGGTAAGGTAAAAAAACGGGCCCGTTTTTATGTTAAAAATAAGCCAATAAAAAAACTTAAACCCCATTTTAATTTTTTTTTTGCATTTTTTTTATGGGAAAAAAACAAATTATAATAAAATTTTTAATAAAAAAATATAAATTTTTAAATTTTAAATTTAAAAAGAAATTTTTTTTTTTAATTTTTAAATTTTAAAAAAAAAATATAATATATATATATTTTATATATAAAAATATTTATATACAAAACCCCATGATATATAAAATGAACCAGCAAGGCTGAAACTATTTTTATTTCAGTATTTAGGCACTTAGGTAACAAAACACTTTTCCAAAAATTTTTTAACACACAACCATCTCCTCAAAAGGGATTGGGAACCCCCCCCCTTTTCCCCAAAAAATGAAAGGGAAAAATGTCCACCCTCATTTTTTTCAAAAACACTGTCTTTCCGAAACATGCTGAAAATTTAAAAGTTTTTTTGGCCTTCCCAAAAAATGTAACCCCCCACCCATCCTTTAAAGCCAAAAGGGACGTACTTTCCCCAAATTCCCAAAACTCAAATTTTGGCTTTAACCCCGTTTTTTCCCGTTTACCAAAAAAGTCACAGGAAAACCTGGCCTCAAACAGGGCAGAAGAACCCCCTTAAAAAAAAATTAAAAATAACGCGATGGTCTGGAAATTTTTTAAACTCCGAACACGGGGGGAAACCCCGCCCAGGGATGGTTTGTTTTGCAAACGTGCCCTTACGATTTTTTGAGTCCCTAAGACAGTTATGCTATCTAAAGTTAAGCAAATCCTGGGGATAGGTTTAAATACACTATATTAACTGGGAATATTTAAGGAAGGGGAAATTTTAAACAAGGGTTTGGTTTTGCTTGCAAAAATTTTAAAACTGGTAAAAAAAAAATAAAAATGCTAGATAAAAATTAAAAGTAAATTAAATACCCCCGCGGTACAATTTTTTTAAGCTAAATTGAGATAGAACAGAAATAAATTTTTAGGTGCTTTTTTTTATAAATAAATTTTTTTTGGTAAAAAATTAAAGAAGGCTAGAGCTGAGAGACATTATTGTGGCAATAACTCAGGACCTGAAACTATTATTTTGGGTCTAACAATAACTAAAACAGATGAAAAAACCACAACGAAGCAGCCAAAAGAGAAAAAACCCCATTAAAAAAGGTTAAGAGATCACTGTGGCCTGCTCTTAGCAAGAAATTCCTTTTTAAGTCACAAACCCATATTTAATTTTTTTTAAAAACTAATTCCCCCATTATTTTATAACCACAAAAACCCTTCATTAAAAAAGCAAATTTCTTTTCCCAAACTAGAATATATGCTTTTTTGGGATTAAGCACTACATTTTTCTTTCAGTTGCAAAATTTTCATCTGAAATTTCATACGAAAAAATACGGAAATTTTTCTGAAACATTTCATTGTCAATGAATTACATTTCATTTCAGGGGTCCCAGAATCACAATACTGATGGGACTTCCCCCTTTTCACGAATAACATTATAGCACCTACCTTCCAGGTAGTAAAAACATTTTTTTCTTCCCAAAAACTTACTTTTTTTTTTTGGGGGGGGGGGGGAGAAAAATTTTGCAAAAAAATTTTCTTTAAGATTGCCACTCATTTTTTTGTCTTTTTCTTAAAATATATTAAAACCCCAATTTTCATCATTCTTTTTTCCCCAAAATTTACAGTTTATCCTTTAAAAAATTTTTATGGTTTTTTAGATCATTTTGAGAACTTGGGTTTCCAAAATCCTAACAAAAAATATCTTGCCCTTTTGGGAAAACTTTTTTTTTAGCACAAGCCAAATCTGGTTGATTCACTTAGTGACAGCCCAAAAACCCGAAAGCAGAATTCTTTATCAAAGGGGTTCAAGTCCACCTTGAAAACTCTCCAAAACCCGAAGCCTTTACAAAATCGGGAAAAAAAAAACCCAAAGGGGACCCTCAAGGAAGATACATTTTCAAAGGGAAAATAAGGTCAAAAAGTTTTACAAAAAAAACAAATGTATACGTAAATTTTTAAATTTAAACCACGTAAGAAAAAAAACAATACAAAACTATAATTTTTCTATACATGCCCCCACAAATGTAGTTAAATTAAAAAAAATCTGTATACTACGGGGTTCCTGTCACACTGAACTATGTACTTTACTCGTTAATACAAAAAAAAAAAGAAGTGTGTGGACTATCTGATGTGCAGCTGGCCAAGGCACTATTTCTAAATGAGGAACTTGTAGCATTCTAAGGTGGGTAATAATAAAACTGTTACTGAATGTGCAGTTACTACAGGAGCCATGTGAGAGAAGGTGCATTCACAGGGTTGGACACAATGCCTACCTTTAACTTCTATGAATTCATTATCAAAGGCATCAACAGAAAGCACCATTTAAGGACTATGATGTTTCATTCACTACAGATGAGAAAGTTCTCCTATTAACTGCAGTTCCATTATCACTGTAACATGCTCGGAGGCGACAAAACCAGCTATCATTCAAGGCAAATGGCTGACTACAGAACTGCAAAAATGCTGTTGCATCCTCTATGATACCAGTGTTTGCAGCATGAACTATAAGAGGTGGATTTGTCTCCCAAGTTCAATACCTTGGTAACCACTTCTCAAATAGCAAGGAAACACTTACATCAAAAAGAATGCTAATATTCAAGCTCCAGCCATCTGCATAAAAATCTTTTCACCTATTAAATCAGCTGTTTATATGACTATAAGAGTCAAATGCAACTCCTCTTGAATCATATATCTTTACATCAATAATAGTCAGACCTTTTAAAAATTTAACTAGGAAAAGATAAAAGTTTTAAAAGCTATCACCTATATGTACTATAGATGCAATGTTAAAAGATAATATATTCATGCATAAAATGTAAACCATAAATACTTTCTTCAATATTTAATTTAAGATACTGTATATTACCTGTACAAGTAGTATATCAACACATGTGAATTTCATTGTAGTGTACGGAACTCAAAATTAATCTATTCCTAGGAACAATTCCTTTTCAATACAATGTGCAAAATCTCAAAGCAGCTGATTTCATAATGAAAAGTTGCAGTAAATCTACCACCGAGAAGTACAGAGACTGGAGGGAAGATGGGTGGGCATGTGGGCAGGTGTAGTGGTAACAACGAGAGCCCACCTCTGGATTTTCCGATTCCGTGGAGATGGTCATCTGACTCTTCATCAATGAATAGATCTTAACATAAGGGGCTTTTATTTTCTGCGAGTTGGTCGTGGTGGGTTGTTGGATGGATTCAAATTGGCAGCATGGAAAGATTTATAGATAATTTAGTTGCTAAAATAATGTGCACTGACGGATGAGTGAGTGGATAAACCCTTGGCATACAACTCACAAAGAGAGCATAGTTTGAAGATGGTGCTGGGGTCTTGACGGTCGGACTTACTGTGCACTTACTACGATTTGCTAAACACATGAGTCATAGAGACATTTTTGCTTGTATTAATTGTAAGTAGTAAAACTCACCCAATTATGAAGAACAACATAAATTGCATAATAGTGTGAGGAAATAATGTAAAATAGCAAAAAAGCAATATAAAAGTACAGGTCTCCCTCGCTTTATGTGATAAATGCATTCCTGGCCCATGGCACAATCAGTGAATTCTCATAGATCAGGATTCATTTTGAAACTTTGCAAATTCCATATTTCATGACTAATGTTTACTAAAAAATATGACCTTACTACTCATGCAGCAAATTGTCATATAAAAAATGAATTTGATAAAAAACAACTGGGAGAAAATCCAGTCTAAAAATTAATTGCATCGACGTATGGTCAGCACCTGATCAGACGGGCTGTGGTTCCTATGTTGAATTACGTGCAGCAAGCAGTAACAGCCTGGTTGATTAGGCCCTGATCCACTGGGAGGCCTGGTCAAGGATTGGGTCGTGGGGACACTGACCCCTAGAATGACCTCCAGGTAGTCTAACTACCTGGAGGGTGTTCCCTACAGTACAGTACAAAATTGTCAGGAAAAATCCACATTATTTATTTTAAAAAAAAATATAAGAAGAATACTACCAGATAAATACCAGGAGCCCATAGACTAAAAACAAATGTAATTGGTCAAATAAATGAGAAAAAAGTAATTAAAAATTTAATCATAACCCTCCTTCCTTTAACCCTCCACCATTAACCAACTAACCTGTCTTTGTCTGGCTTGACACGCATAATGTTAAGAACCTGTGAATATACATTTCTCCCTTGTACTCTCTGATTCCTCTTCCCTCCACCCCTAGTCCTCAACTTTGTGAGTGCAACTGAACTTTGCCTGAGCTGGGCATCCATTTTCTCTGGGTGACAAGACACTGCAACTGAAAACCAACCATAGGATTTTGTTCAGAACAAACTCATTGGAATTTCATGTACCCAGATCTGTATTCTTCCTGCTCATTCTTGTTTATGAATCTCAATATAATTCAGTTTAGAATGACATTTAAAGAGATGCTGTTAAACAAGAGAGTGGTGCTTAGCTTGACTTAGGCGAGGTAAGGTTTCAGGAAACAGGACAAGTGTTTCCTGATGTGGGTCTTAGTCATATGATGACCCGCAGCTGGAGCTTTTGGTCATCTGACTGAGGCCTTCTACTGGCTTACCTCCCCACCCCTTCAAAAATTATGGTTATGATTATAACCAATTTTCCTTGGCTTGACTGACTGCATAAAAGTGAATTAAAATAAAAAAGAACTATATCTGTAGTATACCTACTGCATATAAGCAAATTCACATAAGCAAAACCACATCAAATGAGGGAAACCTGCACTATAGTGTTACAATTGTATCTCATGTCCCAGCAGTGGACCCATCAAGGCAAACCTTAGCGTGAAGCAGACTGATTAAGATATACTACGCAATTTGCTATAATGAAATAAAGTATTGCACAAACAGCTGTAATAGTGTAAAGAGGCTGTGTGGCAAGTACACTAGATGCAATATATTATCTACAATTATTAATTTTTTTTTTTTTGCTGCATTTTCAGAGCTCGAATATTGAAATTTTTATGGCACCAATTTCTCATAAAAATAAAATTTCCTGTAACAGAATGGGTACATGTGAAACAATTTAATTTAATACACATACAATATATGAAAATACAAGCTTATTTTAAAATCTGTAAAAAAGTTCTTAGCTGACAGACTGAATCAACACAAATTAAAAAAAAATCTATCTAGGTTTTCAAGCCCTGAAATGCTTTAGAAAATTTTGCAAAAAGCTTAGGTTAATACTGCAAAAGCAAGTAGACTGCCAGAGAAAAACTGTCACATTGAAGAGTAAAAAAACACTGAAATCCAAGGAAAAAGAGTAAAGAACATGACATTACTCTCAAGGTCTCACTCAGGCAGGAATCACTAGAGTTAACTTTAAACAGAGAAGATCTGAGTCATAATCAACTGAGAAATAACACCAGGTGCCATTTTATAAACATTCTTGTTCTTATCAATTTTTTTTTGTGAATAACATTACATTAAAATTATTATCCAGGAAATGTTCCAATGAATCAGTGCTCTTAACTGATTTGTGTGACCTGTACACAAATATCAGGAGTGTTTAACAGGCAATGCATGAAGTAGGCTGGTGAAAAAGATACACCAGAAAAGATGGTGTTTGAAATATATCTACTGGTTAAGAAAATACAGAATAATGGAAAATTCAACATGCTTGAATACCATCTATACTTCCATAGGGCAGGGATTATGCATCTTCATAATTATATCTCTTTATTTACTCACTTGAATTTAACTTTGTGAGCAAGAAGAAAATATTTTTTTTTTTTTCGACTTGAAAACTATAGATACATTTCGTAACATACATACTGTTGTAGAGGGCGTAGAAGGTACGTTTGGGGTGCCAGAGACAAATGATTATGGGGAACCTTTGACTGAACTTTGTATAGGAGGTGGTTTGGTAATAGGTGATACAGCTAGGTCTCGATTAGTGTGAATAATGAATCTTGTGGAGTGGTCGCATTATTCAAATTTGCACTATTCAAATCACACATAGTTTTTGCGCACGATTTGAAGAGTTTGGGGGAAAAACTAGTACAGCCTCTCTTCACTTACCAACGTACTTGTTTAACGACAACTCGGAGTTACGACGGGCACTCTGATGAGTCAGTATTGTATGCTCTACCAGAACTTGGGTCATGGAAACAGGTAGCGCAGCGCCTCAGCATCAAGCATCTTAATCTCCTTCCTACAGCCACCCAGTACAATAACTTTACAAGTTTTCAAGACTACATATTTATACAAATTTGTGTACTTTACTGTGCACCCCACAATACAAGATAGAAATGCAGCAGCACTTGGAAGAGGAAAAGCAAGAGGAGAATGGAGGAATTACAAAAGTAGTTTGCAGTAAAGGGGTTAGCTGGTAAGGAGAGACTATATTAATTGATTTCACACTAAATTGAAATTCACACTAATGAAGCCCTGGCTGTACATATTTTAAGAAAAAAGGTTAAATAAGTATGAGAGATACAATATAGGGCATAATGACAATAGTTTGTTTGACTATGAATTGGTGGTTAAAAGGTTGATGATTAGACTTCTGGATGGGCATGTTTATAGAGTGGCAACAGATATGTCAGATCATTTTTAGGTTAGGGTATGTAGGAGAAAGGGAGATTATTTTCCAGTAAGAGTAGGCTTTAGACAGGGATGCATGATGTCACCATGATTTTTCACCATATTTATAGATGGAGTTGTAAAAAGAAGTGAATGCTATGGTGTTGGGGAGAGGTGTAGGATGAAAATATATAGAATCTAAACAAAAAATAGGAATTGTCACAGTTGCTGTTTGTTAATGACTCTGTACTTTTAGGAAATTCTCAAGAGAAGTTGCAAAAGTTGTGAATGTATTTGGGAGGGTGTATAAAGGAAGGAAATTAAAAGCGAGCATAAGAAAGAGAAAGGTCATGGGAGTAGCAAATGAGTTAGGTAATGAAAGACTGGATATCAGATTAGGAGGAGGAAGTATGGAGGAAGCAAATGTGTTCAGTTATTTGGGGGTGGATTTGTTGGTGGATGGGTATATGAAAGATGAGGTGAATTATAGAATTGATGAAGGGAGAAAGGTGGTTGGTACACCGAGGCATCTGTGAAGACAGAGAACTTTATCCATAGAGGCAAAGAGGAGAAATATATGAGAGCATAGTGGTACATACACTTTTATATGGGTGTGAAGCATGGGTTGTGTATGTTGCACTGAGGAGGAGGCTAGAGGCAGTGGACATGCCGTGTATAAAGGCAATGTGGGGTGTAAATATTATGCAAAAAATTCATAGCTTGGAGATTAGGTGGAGGTGCAGAGTTTCTAAGAGGGCTGAGGAGAGATTGTTGAGATGGTTTGAACATTTAGAGGATGGAGGAAAATAGAATGACTTGAGGGTGCATAAATCTGTAGGGGAGGGAAGGTGGGGTAGAGGTCAGCCTAAGAAAGGTTGGAGAGAGAGTGTAAAGGAGGTTGGACATTCAATAGGAATGTCATCATGTTAGATAGAAGTGGAGGCAAATGGTTTTTGGGACTTGACAAGCTGTTGGGGTATGAGCAAAGACACAATTTTTGAAGGAATTCAAAGAAACCAGGTAGCTGGACTTGAGCCCTTGAGGTGGGAAGTACAATGCCTGCACTGTGAAGGAAGGGTGGAGATAATTTGCAGTTTGGAAGGGCATCAGAGTTGTAGGATTTGCATACCTCTGGCAAAATAGTGACATTTTTTAATATTTTAAAATTTTTTACCTTAACAGCCACATATATACAGTATATATATATACTGAATGAATCTCTAGTTTTATACTGCTTCAGCAAATAACTACTTTCATTGACAAATGAAGATGATAAAACCCTGAAGACCCTCTGTCTTAATACTAACATCTCCAGATAAATATAACACATTTTAAACTATTCATACCTCCGAGTCGGAAAATTTACCTGCTGAATTTTCATTACACAGTATTATCTCTTATTCTACACGTCTTGGTTGAGATGAGTTGCCATCAGAAAATTATACCAGTGTAACTTACCTCCCATGATTCTTTGGTCATTTCTGTTAGCTCGCCAAAACTGTCTTCATTTTCTCCAGCTTCGTGTTCTTGGTCAGCCCAGAGCTCAGTGTCTTCCTCGACCAGGACAAAACCTCTTGCTGATACTTCATCCTCATTCAGCTCTCCATAAATATCTGGAGCCCATAACTGGAAAAAGTTGAATAACTCATCTGATCTGAAAAAAAAGAATAACATTCATGATAAATAGAGGGCTAATGTACAGAGATCAATTTATCAAAGTTTGTAAAACTCATCAAAATTCCACTCGTAGGACAAAGATACACAAAACATTCATAAATAGACTTGCATTCCCTCACTGAATTACCATCACCCATGCTGCCTCTTACCCACCCATGGTATATCGACTCTATGTTCACATTTCTAATTGAAAATAAAAATAGTAGTCCCTCAAGTTACAACAGTGATCTATTCCAGAAGGCATATCGTACCTCAGAACTATTGTAACTCAAACCCCAAAACATATTGTTTTAGATAATTCGTACCAAGACCCTGGGGAATGCAACTGTTACTGTACCGTGGAACTGCATATTCCCAGATATACCATAACTTGCAGGCACTGTATCTTCCTTCATTTGCTTTTCTCTTATCCACAAAAACAAGCCTTTCCATTTCTTTAATAATTTCCCTGTCTATTTTTCACTAGCTTAGATTCATTGGCCACTTTAATATTCTTTTTAATTTCTTTTTGCTTGATAATAGTAAAGATGGTTAATTATGGAAAGCCATACACACATACCAATGTAATGCAGCAAATGTGTCCCTGAAGTTATACCTATATTAAAGTGTGATAAATATTGGTTGTTAAAATTTTCAGAACTGCCCTTAATGTGTATCTCTTACCTATATATACCCTTATCCTTTCTTACTTAATATGTACATGGCTCTGTAACTCTGGTATAGTGAATAAGTACCCAGTGTAGTGAAGGAATAGGCAGTCAGATATCAATAAACCATCATTATTTTTATCGAAAATGTATTAAGATATGAAGACTCACGCTTGCTGATGTTCTGCAGGTCAGAGTGTTCCAATATGTTTCTAGGTAATAATAATAACATCATTATTTCTAAAAGTACATGTACAAGGTATACAGGCCTAGTTGACATCAATGACACTACTATATAGAAAGCCCTTAGTTATGCATAGCATTTCGGACAAATTAGGTCAATTTTGTCCCAGGGTATGACCCACACCAGTCGACTAACATCCAGGTACCCATTTTTACTGATGGGTGACCATAGACAACCAGTGTAAGGAAACACGCCCAATGTTTCCACCCTTGCCGGGAATCGAACCCAGACCCTCAGTGTGTGAAGCGAGAGCTTTTGCCATCAGGACACACGGGCCACCATATATTGTTTATCTTGAAACAAAATGTATTCTTTTCATTTTTCTGTGTCAGGATAATGTTCTAAAGTTATAGTTTATTGTAATATTTAATATTAGTATTAATAAGAGATATAGGTAGTAGGTTGGTAGACAGCAACTGCCCAGGGAGGTACTACCATCCTGCCAAGTGAGTGTAAAATGAAAGCCTGTAATTGTTTTACATGATGGTAGGATTGCTGGTGTCCTTTTTTCTGTCTCATGAACATGCAAGATTTCAGGTACGTCTTGCTACTTCTACTTAAACTTAGGTCACACTACACATACATGTACAAGCATATATATACATACCCCTCTGGGTTTTCTTCTATTTTCTTTCTAGTTCTTGTTCTTGTTTATTTCCTCTTATCTCCATGGGGAAGTGGAACAGAATTCTTCCTCCGTATGCCATGCGTGTTGTAAGAGGCAACTAAAATGCCGGGAGCAAGGGCCTAGTAACCCTTTCTCCTGTATATATTACTAATTGTAAAAGGAGAAACTTTAGTTTTTCCTTTTGGGCCACCCGCCTCGGTGGGATACGGCCGGTGTGTTGAAAGAAGAATTAATAAGAGATAATAAATGTGGAAGTGGAACAGAATTCTTCCTCTGTATGTCATGCGTGTCGTAAGAGGCAACTAAAATGCTGGGAGCAAGGGGCAAGTAATCCCTTTTCCTGGATAAATTACTAAATTTAAAAACAGAAACTTTCATTTTTCTTTTTGGGCCACCCTGCCTTGGTGGGATATGGCTGGTTTGTTGAAAGAAGGAGAATAAATGGGTTTGAGCTATGTTAATATGTTGTTTTTAAAGTGTTGCTGTACAGAGTGTTTCGTAAGTTCAAAAGAAGTTAGGCCAGCAATGAGGCCAAGCATGGGTAACAACACCATCATATCGTACCCTACTGGGAATTATTCTAGCCAGAATATGTATTCCTGCTGCTAACAAGATTTAGCCACAGCAAGGCACCCTGAGGAAAGGCCAGCGATATACCTGAGAACCTGCCGAGCTTAGAGTCTCTTGGGGGAGGCACAGTGCACAGTACTACGGGTGTCCGGTAGCTTGATTGCTAGCACACTCAGGTCACACACTGAGATCCGGGGTTTGCATCTCCGGTATGGCTGGATAACATTAGGACATGTTTCCATAGACACCTGCTGTCCATGTTCACCCATCAGTATAAAATGGGTACCTGAGTGTGAGTTGACTGGTGTGGGTCACATCCTGGGACAGAACTGACCTAATTTGCCTGAAATGCTCTGCATATCAAGCGGCTTTCTATAAAGTAGTATGTCACTGGTGTCAGCTAGGCCTGTATACCTTGTACATGTACTTGTAGAAATAAAGGCATCATTATCATTATATCAGAGGTCAAACCAGACATGTGGTCTAAAGAATGAGAGAAACTATGGAATAAGATTCTGGCCTGAAGGTAGCAGTACAGAGGTACCTGGGTATTAACTGACTGTTGTGGATCATCTCCTGGGGGATGGTGGCAGTATACCTTAGAGCTGGGCTTTGAGGTAAGCTGAAGTAAGGTAACAGTTATAAATTTCAATGTCAAAATAAATCAAACACCACATAACCTACATAATGAAAGAATTTGCATTCTCCTCTGACAGGGTACTGTTTATGCAATTTGCATTAAATAGATGATATAGCCTTGTATTCTTAAACTGCGAAGCAACACCAGACAGTCTTACCTATTCTTTGGAATACTGAACCAGTATTCTGGTCTCATTCTCTTCTTTCCATAAGACATTACAGGAGTAGACTTTGGAATACTCTTGCCAGCAGGTTTACCCATTCTGAGACATAAATACAGTGGAGGATCCTCGCATGATGTGGCTGGCTTAGGGATTAGCTCTGCAAGATGGAAAAGAACACACCAGTAATGAAACAACTCTTGACAGAAATTCTTGATGTATCATGTACATTTCAGAATGCAGAGTTCTCTGTAAACACAGTTTTAAAATTATTTACATTTTGCCAAAAGCAACTAATAGCCCCACCCCTTCCCTGTGTCCTTCTCTGAGCTTTACTAACCTACATGTGCACAAGTCCCAAAAGTGCAGAATAGCTGAAATCTGTGCTGTGGGGAAAGCAACCATGTCATGCTAGGGTAGAAAATGCTTCTAAAACATAAAATATGCATGGTGATAGGTGCATAGATGTATAAAAACAGGTGAAAGACATCATCTGGAACCAAAGAAAAAAGGGAAATGGAGTCCGTGTTTGATGAAGTGAGAAGCATTTAGTTAAAGCTTCTGGTACCTTTCATAGTATCCTCCTTGATGCCTAAATCTTTCAGTAGGAGAAAGTTGACATTAGTCTTCAATCCATTTTAGAGTAGTTACACATTATATGTAAACATTGCAGACATATATTTCACACCAACCAATTACACATGATGTGGAGCAATTTATTTTTGCTATAAACCTTTATCTTTCAGAATGAAATTATACCCAATAGATATACCTTTAGTATATAAATAGTCATGAGAGTATACACTGTAACTACAAAAAAATATTTGTAGGTTTCAAACAAACATATCAACAAATCCACTAAAAGTTAAAAAAAATATATATATTAAAATTGTTTGTTTTTCAGTATTTACCATGGAGACAATTATCCTGGTAAAAACTAATGCATATTAAAGATGAAACTAAAAAAAATACAACAAATGTTCGACTAACACATAATATGCAGCAGTAGTAAGGTATTCTAAAAAGACATGCTACAAAATTGATACTGTACCAGAATTAAAAATATGAATTACCCATAAGGAAGAAAACAATGTCAAGAGACCTCCCCCTCAGGGCAGGTCTCTTGACATTGCCAAGGGCCTCTTGATACAAGAAATTGGGCCTGTCCTCCCTTATCTTAGACTGAACCTGACTGCCTCCTACTTCCTAGACACTGTACGACCCCTATGGATTTTTCGTGTTTCCCCGTAAATATAATAACAATGAAGGCACTCAAAATGCTCTCACTGGTAGATAGGAGGAAAAGAAGAAATATAATAAAACCACATTAAAAGATACAACAAAATAGATACAGTGGACCCTTCAGTGAGGAATACACAAAGTCAACCATCACTGGTGAGTGATCTGTGTACATCATTCCCATCAAGATGGGTGCCTGAATGCTAGCAAAGTACTCTAAATCCAAGGGCTCTTACACCATCCTCTTCTTCAGATCAAATCATAAATGGCTGATAAGAAAGACACATTTGCAACACTTGGACTTTTTATTGATGAAGCATTTTGTCTGCCCAGCAAGCTTCTTCAGTCAAATAAAGGGATGAATCAGAATCAATGTTGGTGGAAGATTAAGCAGATGAAGTACAGAGGTAGTTTGATGTAAGCTTTGTGTCCTCTTATCGTTTTACCAGAATTGAATGCTATTATTATTATTATTTTTTAACACACATCCATCTCCCACCAAGGCAGGGTGATTTCAAAAAGGAAGAAACAAAAATTTTTCTTCTTTTTTTACACTTAGTAATTTATACAGGAGAAGGGGTTACTAGCCCCTTGCTCCCGGTATTTTAGTCGCCTCTTATGACAGACATGGCTTATGGAGGAAGCAGTCTTCTCCACTTCTCCATGGAGTTTATTATTATTATTATTATTATTATTAGTATGGAGAGGCAATGAACTCCAGCACTGAGTAATATTTATCTTCGGTACTGAATGTGACTGATATTTCACAGGTAAATGACCAATGTTTTCAAATATAGGTGATCATAAAATTTTTACACTCTTTGTTCCAAATTTTATTTTCTTGTAATGGATGTCTATACAGTACCTGGAGGAGGTATAGATGTCTGCTTAATTGAATTATAAGTTTTTTTTTATTTAGAATATTTTCACTCACAGTCAAGCCATGTATACAAGGTCCATGGAGGTGCAATCAATTTATATTAGTAATTTTTCCTTGGAGTCAAAAATCTGATAGGAAGCCTATTACTCATTCAAAGGCAATGCTACCATTAGAATCAGAACCAATGAGAAACAAAAAGCTATACATGTACTATTTTGCCTAGTACTATATCCTACACATTCTATATGACTCCTATTGGGCTTTCCTGCTCTAGCCCACTTTCTTCTTTCTTCCTTCTGCTGGAACTTTATTTTCTTTTGAATCAACTACTACTAATAAGAGCAGGTGGTGGTAGCATAAATTATTATTTGTGAGAATTAAACCCCCACCTTTCTCATCTCTTCTTACAAGTTTTATTTTTCCTCTCTTTCTTTTCCTTTCTGCTTTTTCTTCACCCTGATTTCAGCCTGTGGGAATATAGTCAACATGACTTTATATGGTGCAATCTTGACCCAAGGTTGGGATTAGGGTGACCATTACATTTCACTCCTGCCTCACCTCACTTTTGCTTCGGGTCACCTGCACTGTCTCTATATCAATCTGTTTTAGCTTACTATGTATTAGGACTGATGAAGCCACCTGTGGCAAAACATTTCCTTTAAGTGTCCTGAAGTGTACACAAAGTCCAAGTCGGACCGAAATGTCGTCATAAGTTTCTTTTTCCAATGTGCAGGTTAACTGTGTATGAGTGTCCTTTTCCACAGGGTTTGAGAAGTACCAATTGCTACAGCAAACAGGAGTGCAGTTTTGTGAGTGGTGTTAACCCTTTCAGGGTCGACAGGCCCTCACCGAGACTTGTTCTCAGGGTCAGCCAAATTTAAAAAAAAAAAAAATTATTTTTTCTTAGGAAATGATTGAGAATCTTTTCCCGATCATAATGACACCAAAAGTATGAAATTTGATGGAAAACTTACGGAATTATGCTCTCGTGAAGTTAGCGGTCTCGACGATGTTTACACATCGGCGATTTTGCCCACTTTGAGTCCTATTTTCAGCCAATTCCTGTGTACTAGTCGACAAAAATCATAACTATTTCTCTAGAACTCCATTTTTTCTATTGAATGAGCACAAGAAACCACCCACTTACTGATTTCAACTATCCAATACAGTGGTCAGAATTTAGCAATTTTGCCAATTTCACACAAATTTCAAAAGATGCCAATTTCCAAATAGGGTCCAGAATAAACAAGAAAGACATTCCTGGCACTAAAATAACATTTCCTCTGTTCGTTAGTCACATCCCCAGACCCCTCTTATATTTCTTTGGCTTTCCACTTTCAATTTTTATTCTTACAAAAAATAGAAGATTTACTGTTATGCAGACTACTGCATTAGTGTAGAAATGGTATAAATAATATCAGCGCACTTGTGAAAGAATATTAGACTCACCAGTTGATGTATATTGGACGCTTGGCATGATTTGTTTACTTTTGAACTTTGGTAAAAATCGAACATTTCTGCTACTTTGAGCTCAATGTCAAGGTACTTTTCATTGTAAAACCAATCAAAATCATCTCAATTTCTGTAATATGTCTTCCATTCTATAAAATGAGACCAAGAAAACTAGAATACAATAACAAATACCATACGAAAATACAGTGCAAAGTCGCTGTTTTATTCAAAAAACACAAAGTTTTTTTTTTCTCATTATGCACTGTGTGCTGCAGGGTTTTTTTTATACTGTGCACACTGACCACATAGACCCATTCTTTCATATGTATGCCTACCAGCTTTCTCCCACTAGATTTGAGGGCGCTAGAATTTAGGCGAACTAGTATGTCAAAAACTCTGGGTCGTAAGCCGTACTAGCATGGCCAAAACCCCTCAAAGGGTTAATAGGTAGGTACTGCCATCGTATCAAATATGTGTGAGATGCAAGTTTGTTAAATCTTTAGCACTTGGACATAATTGCTGGTTTTGTGCATTTCAAGAACATTTAAAATGGCAATTAAATCATAAAAACTTACACTTACATTTAGCATACATTTACCTTCACTTTCCTTTGCATTTCTTCATAGTTCCGATTCCTTTAAAATTTCCTTTTCGATTAAAGGAGTTTGGTCTAAGACAGCCACTGAGGCAATACTCACAGCAACTGCTAAATATCTAGCATTATATATCCTTTTCAAGTTACATTTGTTATTGATAATATTCTTACAACAGTTGAATATAGCACACAAACCTTGTCTATGTGACTGGGTTAAAGTAGTACTGTTGTAATGGGGAAAATTAATGTACAGTGGACCCTCGCCTAACAAATGCATCGCATAACGTTAAATCTGCCTAACGAAGCGTTTGAGTGTAAAAATTCTGGCCTGCTTAACGATAAAAACTTACCCAACGTGATTCCTCCCAAACCTGTCCGTCCAGCCTGATCGCCTCAGCTGCCTTGCCGTCATTGTTTACAAGCCAGGGTGGCCGGTTGCATGCGTACATTCGATACATTTTGTATTATTCCATTGTTTATAGTGCTTGTAACTCCTAAATAAGTCACCATGGGCCCAAAATAAGCTTCTAGTGCCAGCCCTGTGGTAAAAAGGGTGAGAAATACTATCGTACGGCAGTCAGGTGTTGCTGCACCATGGTCAGCTGTTGCTGCACCAATGTCAGCTGTTGCTGCGCCATGGTCAGCTGCTGCTGCACCACAGTCAGCTGTTGCTGCACCACCACCAGCTGTTGCTGCACCACAGTCAGCTGTTGCTGGACCAGTCAGCTGTTGCTGCACCACGATCAGCTGCTGCTGCACCACAGTCAGCTGCTGCTGCACCATGGTCAACTGCTGCTGCACCACAGTCAGCTGTTGCTGAACCACTGTCAGCTGCTGCTGCTGCACCACAGTCAGCCGTTGCTGAACCACGGTGAGCTGCTCCTGCACCATGGTCAGCTGCTGCTGCACCACCATCAGCTGTTTCTGACCAACATGACTCATCCCAAACCTATCCATCCAGCACTGCCGTCATTGTTTACAAGCCAGGGTGGCC